ACAGGCGGACTATTATTTATAACATTTCTCTCTTCTTCCTTATTTGAATTGCCTCACCCTACTGATATTGGGTGCCCTTCTGCTCTAAGTTAGTAGATTAAAGATCTCAGCTTATTGCAATGTCCATCAATTTGTTGCCTCCCTACTCTCGTGGTCAGATATATGCAATTTTTATACTCTTACAGATCTAAAAGCTCTGTAAGGCACTGCCTTTAGGTTACAGTCTCTTGTGGAGCTGTAGTTTCAAATCTCCTCCCCTCCACCCTTCCCCCAGCCCTTTCACAGTTGTTGGCAGCTGTTGGGTCTCCTGCCACCTGTCTGTGGCTGGGGTAGGGGGGGGAAGGGCTTTTTTTGGAGCCAGGAGCCATGACTTTCTGTATGCCTGAGCATTGTACTGTCCACCAACAGCTAGCACAGGGATTCTGGGCAAATGCCCTCAGGGTGGTGAGCCATCCAAAGCCTTGAATTTAGGCTACAGTCTCCTCTGGAGATGTGGGTTCAAATTCTACTCCCGATAGCCAGCTGTTAGCTTTTTGTTCCTCGAGGGACTTTCCTGATGGCTTGTGTCAGTCCTTATTGAGGTGTTCTGTTGATCATGTCTCTAATATTCCTTCATTGCCCCAGGGCCTCAGTGGGAAAGCAGGCCCATCTGCTGGACTAGGCCCCATGAAAGCCAGAGTCTGACTCCAGTGTGCTCTGGAATCTTACCATGACTGGCAGCTACAGGCAGAAAAGAAGCAACATCCAATTATGTTGGGTGAGGGTGGCCGAGTAGTGTAAGGCACTGCCTTCAGGCTGCAGTTACTCCTAGAGGCATGGATTCAAATCTTACCCCAATAGTCCTATCCATATCATTTGCCAGGCAAGGTGGCTACCAAAGACTTCTGTGCTTAGGACCCAGAAATGGGTATTGCTTCAGATGGTGTTTCTTGCTGTTCTTAATTTTCCAGTGGGAATAATTAATGTGATTTGTGAGTCCTTTTTTGCAGTGGTACTTCTGTCTGTTCTTTTGTATTGTTCTATACCATGCTGTCTTCTACTAGATTGGATATTTCAATAGAAAAAGCAAAAAAAAAAAAAAAAATATCAGAAATGTAGAAAGGCTGGCATAATGGCTTGCTATAGCTTAGTCAGACTTCCTGAGACAGAGCCATCTCCTTGTCCCCTAGTGGTGTTCCTGCAGTCCTCAGTAGCTGGATACCTTCTTCGGCCTTCGCTGTCTCCTCGTGAATGCTCTCAAGGAATTCTTCATGGGCACAGATTCTCCACAGCCTAGTCCCCTCCTCCTGTAGCGCTCTCACCTGCTTCCTGAGGCATTCCACCAACAGGCACCTTTCACATTGGATCGCCCCCCCCCCCCCCCACCCCGGGAAACACTGCCCCAGGCTCTGCAAAATCACAACAGGATCTGGGTAGAGGCATCCAGGACAGAGACAGGCTAACAGGAGCAGTGTTGGCACCGGCGATACGACTCTTCCCAACCAAACTGGTTGCACTACGACTCCCTCTGACAAAATCCCTCTCGCATTCGCCTGGTTGCTTAGCCCCTGGCTTTTAAGCCTTGTCTCCTAGGTCAGCCCCCCAGGCTCTGCAAAATCACAACAGGATCTGGGTAGAGGCATCCAGGACAGAGACAGGCTAACAGGAGCAGTGTTGGCACCGGCGATACGACTCTTCCCAACCAAACTGGTTGCACTACGACTCCCTCTGACAAAATCCCTCTCGCATTCGCCTGGTTGCTTAGCCCCTGGCTTTTAAGCCTTGTCTCCTAGGTCAGCCCTACCCTCTCCTTGACCACACAGTGGTGCGTAGGATGCCAGGTGTCCGGTATTGACCCGGATAGGAGGTGAAAATACCAGACTGTCCGGGTCAATACTGGACACCTGGACACTCTCAGCAAACGGATCCAGGGCCCTCCCGTCCCTCGCTTACCTGGTTCTGCAGGGGAGCTGTCTGGCTGGGAGCAGAAAGACACAAGATGGCTGCCAAGCCTCTTACAGGGGCCATTCTGTTTTTGTTTTTTTAATTTATTTTCTTATACATTTTTTTTGCTTAATAACTCTTGGGGTCCTTTTCTTTCCCCCTAAACAACTTTGGTCTCCTCCTTTTTTTTCCTCAACAGAATTTTTTCCCTGGTGGTTTTTCTTTGAGGGGGAGGTTTGGTATTTTTGGTTAAACCATCTGGCAACCCTCCCAGCAGGAGAGTGACCACAAGGCTGATTGAGGCTGGGGACAAAGGCTCAAACAACCCCCAGACACACAATCACAACTGACACAACTATCATTAGGCTTTTTTCCTGAACCAGTGTGGGCCAGCCACGGGGCACCAGCAGCAACAGTAGCAGAAACAGTTGCAGAGGTATCTTGGGGAAAGTGCCATTTGGTCAGACAAGATCACCAGAGCTTCAGAAATCCCCTGTGCCTGGTTACTCGGGTGGATACTTCCTCCAGGTCAGCTCCCCACTTGCAGATAGCAGGGTAGAACTGACAGAGGCTTCAGGCTGACTCTGAATGCTGTTCCTCCTCAGCCTCACTTCCCTCACCATGAAGTGAAACCACAGGTGGGTGAGAATGGTACCATCCAGCTTGCATTGGCCAGCCTCACCCCAGTGGAGTGGCTCAGACAGAAAAGACATTATTGCACCACCTCCTTTTCTCCCTCATATCCTGGAACTGTCCATGCTGCACAAGCACCACAAACAACAGCCAGAAGAAGCAGATGGGCAGTGACAGAGAGAAAAGAGAATTCTGAAAGGCAAGAGAAGAAAATAGGATCTGGAGTTGTTAGATGAAATTCCATCTCAGGGGCAGCTCATGTTTCTCCATTCCCCACCTTTTCCCTCCTCCTCCTCCTCCTGCACTTGGCCATGCCCACAACAGCTGCCTGAGGTGCTGACTGGCTGGCAGCATCCTGCATCCCCCTCTATGTCCATTCTTTCCTCATAAAGCAGGTCAGGCAGTGAATGGTCCCCCACCTGCCCTCTCAGCTCTCTGCCTAGGGCTGGCTTTGTGACCATGCGTGGCCAAGTCCTGCGTGGAACATGGCTTTAACTCATTGAAGGGGTAAATCCACCTCCCTCCTGCCAGATGGGTTCAGAGTCTTGATAGGAGAACCAGAGAGAACCTGGCATATGGATGTGGAACACATACCTGTGTTCCTCCCTTCAGCATAAAGACAGTTTCACATACAGGAGAAAGCCAGTAGATCCACGGCACTGTGTGACAGAATGTAGCTCTGCATTCACTCCCTGCACACCAGTGTGATATCTGGGTAAGGGTTTTAAAAAACAACACAATCTTCCTGTATTGCTGAAAATAGAAATATAGCCAATTCCCCAGGGTAGTGCTAACTAGCACTGTACCTCTCCAGTCTCCTGGGCTATGTCCTGACTGGCATGATTTTCCGTAAATGCTTTTAACAGAAAAATTTTTCCGTTAAAAGCATTTGTGGAAAAGAGCGTCTAGATTGGCATGGACACTTTTCTGCAAAAGCACTTTTTGCAGAAAAGCGTCCATGCCAATCTAGACGTGGTTTTGCGCAAGAAAGCCCCGATCGCTGTCCAACCTCCAAAAGTGTCTCTCCACTGTGGGTGTGGGTGCAAAAGCCTTGCTCCTGCACACAGGGAGAGGGTCTCAATGATGAGTTCAGCGTTGAGCTCTTGCAGAACCATGAAGGCAGCCTGCACAAACTGCAGCATGGCATCACCAGGAAGGCTTCTTCTGATCTAGGGTATCTCTAGACTGTCTCTGCTGACAGAGGCATGTAAATCAGACATACCAACATAGTCATTGAAGTGGGGTTTAAATATCCCCCGCTTCATTAGAATAAAATTGGCCGCCGTGTTGTGCTGGCTCAGCTGTTTGTTGGCGCGAACCAGCAGTTAAGATGGGGATTGGTTGACAAGGAAAGCCTTTACTGACCGATACCTTATGCCTCATGAAACGAGGTTTACGAACCAGCAGTTAAGATGGGGATTGGTTGACAAGGAAAGCCTTTACTGACCGATACCTTATGCCTCATGAAACGAGGTTTACAGGATCGGTCGGCAATGGCTTTCCTTGTCGACTGATCCTCATCTTGACTGCCGGTTTGTGCCGACAAACAGCTGAGCGGGCACAGTGCGGCGGACATTTTTATTCTAATGAAGCAGGGGATATTTAAATCCCCACTTCATTGACTATGTTGATATGTCTAATTTACCTGCCTCTAATATTAACACATTGGGCTGCTTCTCACGGTGGCTTCATGTGCTCATGTCTTTTCCAGAGAGATGGATTCAATCTAGTTGCATCAAGCTGGGAAATAGTGCAGTGAAGATCTGTACTATCATCAATTCATTCTTATATTTGTCTAGAAATGGATGGAAGGAGAGGGATCACTTGGGGTACATCTAGACAGCAGGGCTATTTTGGGTTACCTCTGGTACCCTAAATAGCTACCCCATGTCTTTTAAATGTGCCTGTTATTTTGAAATAGTTTTTGAAATAACAGGTGCTCTATTTTGGCATCCCTGTAACCCTCGTTCCACAAAGGTTAAAGGATGCATCAAAATAAATGTTATTTCAAAATCTGGTGCGTGTAAATCCACCAAATTTTGAAATAAGCTCTTTTGAAATAGAATCAAAATAAGATGTGCAATTTGCATAGCACAAATTGTGTATCTTATTTCAAATGTAGAGTGCTGTGTAGATGCACCATTGAAGATTCCCTGTTCTGTTCACTCCTTCTGGGGCATTTGGTATTGGCCACTATTGGCAGACAGGATACTGGGCTAGATGGACCTTTGGTCTGACCCAGTATGGCTATTCTTATATTCTAGAAAAATATTAGTAACTCCATTGTCTTTCTTTTCTCTTCCTCAGATTTCTCCTTTTGCTCATGCTACCTCGTTCCTCTGATTTCTCTTCAGTCTCAGCTTCCTTTTATAAAACAAGACCTTCACTAGACCTAATCTGTAGCCAGTGAACAGGAAGCAGATTTACATGAAGGGGCAGTTCTCCTGTGCTGCAGGGTTCAAGAGAGAATCAGAGGGATCCCGCCACAGACCTGTTTGCTTGAGGAAGCCGACCTTGTCTGGATCCACCATGGCCTGGGCCCCTCTGCTCCTCACCCTGCTCACTTACTGCATTGGTAAGGGAAGGGGAAAGGGAAGGGGAAGGGTTGATCTGGTGAATGCAGCACAACAGGGGTCTATAGCCAGCTGCAGTGTGTCTCTCTGCAGGTCGTGCTGAGAACGTCAGTTCTGCTCTATGCCAAGAGCATCTCTGATGGGCTTGTTTCTGATATTTCAGGTTTCAGTTCCCAGCAGATCCAGTCCTTGAAGCCAACCGAGTTAGTGTCTCTTGGAGGGACCGTGACCCTCTCCTGCAGCCTGAGCAGTGGGGCCATCACGGACAG